GAGAGAGAGCCACACGTGACATTGTATGCCTTTAACCCCAGCACTTGGAAGGCAGAGGTAGAAGGATGTCTGTGAGTTCAAAGCCAGCATGATTTCTAAAGTGAGATTCAGGATAGAAAAACCCTGTCTCAAATAGCCCCACCCCATCCAAACATACCAACCAACTCACAAAAAAAAAAAAAAAAAAAAAAAAAAAGGGAGAGAAAAGGGAGGTTTATTTCTCAAGAAATGTCAGGAAAGGAAAACTAGCTCTGTGCATCTGCTTTGCCCTGAGATCCCAGAGTAAACACCCGACCACCCTCTACCACTTCTAATAGTTTGCCTATCTATATAGGAGGGTTGGTTGAGTCAATTTTCCAGAGACCAAAGGATATCTAAATTGCTAGATGGTTCCTCAAAGCTCCTAGAATTGCTCAACTCATTTACTGGGAGTAGGGGGAAAAAAAAAAAAAGAAAAAAAATCAAGACAGGAAATTGCCTTTAGGGACACTTTTACTTGGAAAATTACAACACTAGTACAAGTCTTATACATTTAACATTTGCTTGTTGAAAGCAATTCATAATATCAAAATTAATCATGTTTTACTTTTTCCTCACAAGAACACAAAAATGATGAAGGGGAACTTAAAACAGAAAAATTTAAAAAGGTAACACAACTTTTCTCTTAGTAGTCCTTGGGTAGTTACGACAGAAGACTTTCCATCTTTTGTTTCTTTGAATGAAGACCTTGATCCAAAGTCTTGTTTGTTTCTAGTATCTGCTTCTGCCTCCCCCTCTATCAGATCGGCTTCCGCCACGGCCACCTCCTCTCGGCGCTCCTCGGCTTGAACTGCTGTAGGAATCACGTGGAGGAGGGTACCCTCTTTCCATGGAAGGTGGAAGCCCCCGTTCTTGTCTGCCAACACGATCACGGCCACTGGAGTAGAGATCACTTCTGCTGCTGGAGTAACTGTCTCGACTTCCACCGTAGCCATCGCGGGAGCTGCTGTAATCATCATAGCGACTGCTTCCTCCATAAGATGGTGGGGGCCCTCGTGTAGGGGGTGCACTGCGTGAGTTACCATAGCTCTCATAGGAATCTCTGTAGGAGCCTCCGCTTGGATGATCTGAATAGTCACGATCCCGACCATACCCATCTCTATCACCGTAGCCTCTGGATGGATAGTCATCACGGGAACTGGAATGACTGTAATCACGGTACGCATAATCTCTCGGCGGAGGTGCATAATCTCTGGTATCACGAGAGCTTGGATAATCTCTGCTTGAGTAGCTGTCTTTCGTAGAATATCCATCATCTCTTGGGGACAAATAAACATCTCTGCGCGATGGCAGGGGTTCCCTTCGGGGCGGGCCTCCATAGCTATCTCTTCCACGTGACACTGGAGCTCTTCCTCCCATTCCACTGCTGCTTCGAACTGGTCCTGAAGGTGTCGATCTTTTAGGAGGGGGACCCCCGCTTCTTGGTGGTGGTCCTCTTTTAACTGGAAGTGGTCCTCTAGAAGAACTCATGTTAAAGTTCATGGAATAACCACCATCATCCATGTATCCTCCACGTGAAGGAGGACCCCTTGTTCCTCCACTTCCTCCTCGGAGACCTCTGGGAGGGCCCCTGCTTCTTGGCGGTGGAGGTGGTCCACGCCGGCCACTTTCAAAAGATGGTTTGGTAGCTTGCTCTACCTTGATGGCTTTTCCATCTAAGGACTTTCCATTCATATCTCTAGCTGCATCTTTAGCATCTGCTGGGCTTTCGAAGGTAACAAAAGCAAATCCTCTTGATTTGTTGGTTTCACGGTCTTTCATCAAAAGTATTTCCACTATTCGTCCATACTTGCCAAATACTGCTTCAAGGGCTTTCTCATTTGTTTCTGTATTAAGCCCACCAATGAAGAGCTTTCCTGGGCGATCTGCCTCAACCATCTTTCCTTCCAGCTGGTAAGAGTTGGAGGGGACTGTGAAGGTTTCAAGCTCCTACAAGCTCGCCGAATTCGCCCTCCAAGTAGCTCACCGGTGACAGCTGCTGGGTCTCAGAACAGAACAGAAAAGCCGCTAGGACTACTGCACACGAGTACCTGTGAATATTATTGTATTAGTTTCCTCAGGCTGCTGTAACAATGCACTGTAAAAAGGGCTGGGTGTAAGGGTTTCAAAACACAGATTTTCTTATTGTTCAGGAAGTCATTAAGCATGAAGTTGAGTTTTCTGCTGGAAGCCAAAATTCTGTACCATGACTCCCTCCTAGCTTCTAGTGGTTGGCTTACAGATATCTCAGTTCAGTTTCTGCTTCTACTTTTACAGGGTGCTTATATGCCACCTGCTCTCACACATAATGTTCATCGGACATTCTTAAAGAACTGTAGCTAACCATACCTACAAACATCTGATTCCTTAAGTAAAATTCCGAGGTTTCAGGAAAACATGCCTTCTATAGGGGACTTCACTGAACAGTTAATTTGGAGAAAGGATATGTGCTCATAATTAATCTAAAGGAATCTGAACCATTATTCTGGATTATCTGGTTAAATTCTAAATTCAAGGACAAGTATGGTTCTAAGATACACACAGAAAAAGGGGGTGCTGAAGGTGGGTGCAGAGTGAATGATGCTGCAGCCATCAGAAACATATGGAAGGGGTATATGATGCTAACCCAGGCCGAGGCTGGAGCTTCGGGCCTTAAATGGAGGAATCCAGGGAATGCCAAAAGCTGAGGGGAGCTGGAAAGAGCCTTGGGGAACACCCTGATTCTCGACTTTTTTCTTCTGTAACGGTAAGACAAAAATGTCTATTGTCTGACTGCATTCAGTTTGTTGTTTTTTTTTTTTTTTGGGGGGGGGGTTGTTATAGCAGCCCTAGCAAACTAATACAGTCCTCAACAATACAATTTACAAGGAACTATCCTTAAAATATTCTTCTATGAATTAAGATTCTGTTGTAAACAGTTCAAAAATCTCTAGGAAGCCTTTGTGGGCAGACTTACTTAGGCAGCACCGTCCCTGTGGGGACCTTCTGAGAGTATTCGATGACTGACGTATTTGTTTTGTTTTTTGATTTTTTTTTTTTTGTTTTTGAACCAAGAAAACTACCGTAAGAATATCGTTATAAATTTTGCTTCCTAAAACTTCACTTACCTTGCGATTGTTTTATAATAAGCTTTTATCACACTCCATGTACTTCTTTTGCCTGGTAAATTGTTTTAATGTCTCCCTATTAAGTTCTTTTTATCTTGAGATTAGCTTTTCTTCATGCTGCCTGATGCATAACTACCCGGCAGTGGGGGCTGTGCAACTGAGAGCTGATAGCACCGCTGCTTAAAGCAGCTTAGTTTTTGGAATAGCGAGTCATGTCAGCAAGATAAAGTTAAATAGCGCAAACTGCACGCCGAGTCTCTTTCAAGCTTTGAATGCATTCAGAACCAAAGTCTGGTACAATCTCTTTCGAACGTTACGTTCCATAGTAAACTATTCAAGTAGCCGATACCAGGCTGCTTCAAAATGTCCCACAATACTTTGTTCCTTTCTTTCTTTGGGTGCATAAAGAGGAAGGGTTGATGCTCGGAAGACCATTCGTGAAACTATGTCATAGGTTCGCCAGAACGCAATGCCAGACACCGGGGGTCGGACACCAGACCCTCCACCCTGCTTCTCGACCCTCACTGCTTTTGTTCTGCGTTCCCGGGCCCCTCTCGGCTGTCCCGTTGCGTTAGCGGTTCGGCTCCCGGGTCAGGCAAAGGCCCGCACCACGCGGCCTGCGGACTCGCCCGCCCACGCGCAGCACACGGGTGGGGAGGAGCCTGGGCCGCTCTCTCGCCGCCCCCCAGGGAAGATGTGCCCCATCCCGGCCGTCCCCCCACTCCCAGGGCGGGTTTTGGCCGGGGAGGCGGTCGGGCGGAAAGGCCCGGGCAGGCCACCGACCTGGCGGGAAGGCCCGGCCCGCCTTCCCGGCCTCCCCGGCGCCGCCGCCGCTGCGGGGAGGCGGGGGCCGCCGTCCCGGACGTCTGCTCGGCCACCGATTTTCAACCTACCCCCGGGGCTCACGCCTCCCCAGCTAGGAAGCCGCTTTCCCGCGCCGGTCGCCACACGCGTCCGCCGCCGCCGCTCCCGCCGAGAACCAGAGGCCGCGAGTGGCTTCCCCTCCCCCCAGCAACGTCAACGCGACGTCGGCCGTCGTCGTAATGCACCGAGGACGCGCGCACCGGGAAACCCGGGCCGCGCGCGCG